GCGCTTCCGTAGTACTGCGGTGGGGGACCACGCGGGAATTGGAAGTAATGTAGTTCATCAGCATCTCTGTTAGTATAGTGGCGAGTATACCCGCCTGTCACGCGGGAGACCGGGGTTCAATTCCCCGACAGAGAGCTTTTTGCCTTTTGCTACATTGGTGTTGCTTGTACATGCGGGCAACATCCTTTTTATTGATTGCGCACGCGTGCACCGCGCGGCATGCGTTATGTTATCATGCGTCGACGCATGCGAGAGATAGATGAAACAACGTGGCGCCCGATAACAATTGCGTGCATGCGCCCGCGATGCTGGTGCCTGCTCGCACGACTTGTCTCCGCCATATTGCCAGTCACGCCGAATAGACGTCCGCTTGCTACTTACTTCTTTCCTCGATCCCCGCCCACTACCACGCTTCTACTCGCTTGTTGCAATGGTTATCGCCTCTCGCCCGCCTTGTCGCGCATCCTACGCAAGGCTGGAGGCCATCCTGCTGCTCCTGCCGCCTGGCGACTCGGACGCCTTCCTCCAGCAGCTGGGCGATGCCGACTTGCTCGAGCTCGAGTGCACGAGCCGCACTGTGCACGCCGTGCTCAGACGGTCGGACCAGTACTGGCGCGGATGCTACGGGCGTCGCTTCCACTGGCGACACGTCGCGCACGAGCAGGACTTTCTGCTCTGGTATCGCAACAAGGTGTGGCGCGAGTCGAGACGGCCCGGCATGTCGAGCGTCGATCTGCTCGATGGCGCCGCGGAGCATGCCGCATTCGCGGGCGTCAGCTGGAAGGCCGCCTGCCAGTATCGACTGCTCGTGCAGCACAACTGGCTCGGCAAGCAGCACAGGCATTGGCGCTGTGACGAGCATGCGGCCGACGCCGTCTCCGGCATCCACATCATGCCCACGAGTGCATCCAGCATCCCGCTCAAGGTGGTCAGCGAGGAGCGCGTCCGCTTGACCTATCTGCGCCCCGCAGAGATACCGCACAGCATCGACTCCGTCCTCGCAGACACGCCACCGCCACTGCTGCCGGCATCCGATCCGGTCGCGAGCAGCGAGGCCAGACACATCAAGCCGATCATCAGCAATGGATGCTACACTGTCGTGGAGTCGCGCGGCACCTTCTTCGTGCGGCCCACCTATTCCGACCACACGTGGGTGCCGTTCGCGCTGCCCGGCTTTCCCAATCGCAGCGGCGACTTTAAGCGCACGCTCACCTTTGGCCGCTGGGTGGTGTTCCGCGGCTACGGCGAGGAGGATGCGGCCTGGCTGGTGAATCTGGCCACGCGCCAATACGCGCAGCTGCCGCCGACCATCCGCTACGTGCACGCGATCCTCTCGGCCGACCCGGAGGGCGTGGTGCTGCTTACTGCGCCCACCGCCAGCACACGGTATCGCGTCGACTGGTGCAGGTACCGCTGCCGTCTCGCCTCGTGCGGAAGGCCGGCGATAGAGCTGCTCAGCGCGGGCTTCTTCTGCATAACCGCCGTCTCGGATCGCATTGCCATCAGCAGCTTGGGGCCGGACTACGCCTACATAGAGTACCAGACGGCCGGCATCTATCCCACGCTGGCCATCTACGACATCACGGAGGATGGCGGCCCGGAGCCGCTCTGCCACCTGGACGAGGCGTGGCCTGCTTACCGGCTCGACCGCAGACGGGCAATGGTGGAGACGCAGTACTTTTGCAACATAATCGACCTGCCCACCGGCGACATACTGCACGCCTACAACTACGGGGCGCTGCTCAACCTGAAGCCCATCCTCGGCGGGCTCTTCCTGTCGACGGGCATGAAGAGCACGCAGATCGTCGACGTCTACTCGGGCATCCCGCAGGCGACCATCGTCGCGGCCAAGCAGGTGAACTGGCCCCTGATCCAGGTGTACTCGACGTTCCTTTTCTTCAAGCCGGTCTCCGGCGCGGTCAGCATCTTCGACTTCACTGTGGCATAGGGCGCACGTATGGCCGGCGTGGCCATTGTATTCGTATACTAGCGCGCTACTAATCTACCTGTACTCTACACATAATAAACACTACTGTTCTACCCGTTCATTGGGCTTTATTGATGTCGGCATCGGCCATGAAGCAGCGCAAACTATGCAATCTACCAAGACCAGGGGCATGTATGCATGTATATTGATGGTGATGATGCGCAAGCTTCCTCTCGTAAACATCTCCTTTTGCTTGCAGGCCAGGGAGCATGGCCTCGCTAGCTAGGCCGGGCCTGTCGAAGATCGCATTCGCTTCTGCTTGTATCATTCCAAGATGACGCTTACTATCTCGACTATGCTGCCGACGGCTCTTCTGCTCCTGCTCGTGGCGATGGCGGTGCATGCCGACGACCAAGACAGTACCCGTCCGGATGTGGCGCCATTGTCGCATGGAGGAGCGGGACAGGTGTGCCGCAAGACGGAGGACTGCGTCGCCTGTATCATGATGGTGCCGACGTGCCAGCCAGCCTGCGGCAAGGATGCCGTATGCGAGGTGGTGCCGTCGACATGCTGCAGATGCTCGTATGCCTACTGCAAGCCGAAGAAGCGGGCGGCGTCGTGCGTCAAGTGTCTATGGTCGCCCAGCTGCGATCGGATAAGGTGCGCCGGCGGATTGCGCTGTGTCGAAACGCCCTCCACCTGCCAGTCGTGCGGCTCTGCCCACTGCGTGTCGCAATAGTGCACATGCACCTTTGTGTTCGCTCTAATAAACAACACGAGATCAAGCAACGCAAATAGAGCGGACGATTGCTTGGGCTAGAGATACGGTCGTTTATTGAACAGGTGAAAATGATATAGATAGACAGACATGTAGCTATGTGTGTGCGCGTGTGCGAGCGTTTAGAAGAGATAGATCGCCTTTCGCGAGTACATTCTATCGCTGTTGCAGCCGACGCCTTCTCTGGTCTCGTGCATGGCTGCGCCGATGTTCGACTGGATGTCCGGACGAAGTGCGCACGTCTTGAAGCGGTACTTGCCAGGGGCAATCTTGGTAAAGTGCGTGCCATCGGTGCCGTAGAGATTGTCCTCGTCGTACTTTTCGTACTTGATCTCGTTATCGTTCTTCAGCTGGATGGTTTGCTCGTCGGTGGCGGGCGCGGTGGGAGCAGCCTCGATCACGGTGGCGGCAAGCAGGACGGTGAGGGCCGTGGCCTTGAGCAGGGTGGAGATGGAGAAGCGCATGTTGCTGATGCTGATGCAGATGCTTGAGGCGATGGATACAAGTACAGTGCCTGGATGCTGAAGATGCTGAAGAGGATGATGATGATGCTGATGCAATGGTGAGCGGCCTCGACTGGCGAGCAATCCGGGTGCGCTTTATAGGATGCGGGGCCGCGTAAGCTGCAACTGCGGCAAACGGCTTCTGCATGTCCGTCGAAACTTCGGGACATGCTGCACTCGCTCGTTACACACACGTGCATTCAACTGCAAAGGCCGTCCAGCCTGGCCTGCTGCTCACCACTCTATGCTCGTTGATGTAATGAGACCGCTCTCTTCCCTACGCAGCAGGCAGTCATCGACTGGGTGGCACGCAAAGGGCTGCCGTCGTTGCAGGCAGGAGACGAGCGAGCGAGCAAGCGAGCGGCCATGCTACGGGCGGCCATGTCGCCAAAGTGCTACACTATCGTGCTACGCCACGAATGCGGAGCATGTCGTCCACCAAGCATCCCGCGCATGACCCTGCAGCATGCATGTATGTATGTAATAATTTATTCGCCCATTGTCTAGTCCTTCGCATGTCGCGCCAGGAAGCTGGCCTTGAATGGCGACACGGCCGACAGCACGACGAACGACGGCATGCCGTTGACCACGGTGAATGCGCGGTGCTTCAGCACCTGGCCCAGCGTACAGCGTCGGCCGACCTTAACCAGCCGCGTGCCACGCGCACCGCCCGTCGTGGCGGCACCGCCCTTGCCGGACTGCAGGGGAGCCGCCTCGAAGTACACCTCGAGCAGCTCAGGCCTGTACGCGCCCTGCCTATCCCACGGCGGCGAGGGCTGGCTGGGGTCGAACATGACGCTGAGATGGTCCTCGAACGTCGATGTCTCGTCGAATGCCGCGATGAAGTCGGACTCCTTGTGCTCGGGGTAGAGGAAGAACACAGGCCATTGCAGGCTGCCCGACTCGGGATCGAGATGCACTTGGTGCGGGTTATCAGGCACGGGCGGCCGGGTAATCATGCGGATGCCGCGGTCCTAATCCGCCCGCGCGTCAGACATCGTCGTCGATGGCCAGCTATGATAATATGCACTCACCTGGATGGCCTGCGCGATTCGCTCCTTCTCGATCCGCTCCGCCTCGTCCCGTTGCGCTTTTGCCTGCTGCTTCGCTTCGAGCTTCTGCTGCAGCGCCACGATGGCCTCCTTCTCCTTGATGAGCGCGGCATTGTCCGGCTCGATCTGTGCGTGCATCCGTGTGGTTAGGCCGTGCCTGCAACACTATTTGCTTCCTCCCCGGCCCACCTCTAGTCCGCGCTGGCATGCGTCCATGGCCTCCTCGATCCGCTCGAGGGATCGGCACGCCTTGGCCGATCGGTAGTAGGCCTTGACGCACTTTGGATCGATGAGCAGTGCGCTGGCGCAGTCATTGAGCACGCGACGATAGTTCTCTACCGATATGCATTAGCGCGGGCGAGCCTCGCCCCATCTGCCCATGAGCACCAACGTAGTTCCAGGTTGCATGCCGCCCTGTTGATGTAGCATGCCACGTTGAGCGCCGTGTCTGTGCACTTCTCGTCGAGTGCCCGCGTGTAGAACTGTATCGCGTCGGGATAGCGCGCCTTGCCGCCGCGGAAGCAATCGTTGCCCTGCTTCTTGAAGTTCTCCGCGTTCTCTGTGGCGTGGCGGCGATCAGCGCCGCGCACCCTGCCGACATCACGCGCGCGGCTTACCTTCGGGCGTGCCGTCATAGGCAAGCGCCTGCAGTGCCTGCAGCACCACGTTGTCCTCCGAGTCCTCCGGCAGGTCCTGCATAAACAGCGGCGTCGTCTTGAGCATCTCCTCGAGCCCTGCCTCGTCCGTGATGCTGGAGAAGCGGTTGGGCACTGGGCCCGCTGGTGCATCGCGTGCCTCCATGCTGTGCTGAACGACGCGATCGAAACAAGAAGCAGCAACAATAAAAAGAAAGAAAAACAAGCGTTTTACTTCTC